ACACTTAAGAAAAAGATTAATCAACTTTTCTTGACATCCAAAGGAGCCAAAATACCATGTATTATGCAATAGACTTATCTGAAATGCAAATAAAAATGTGGCTGTGGTTTTGTTCCCACATGACTCTACCCACACAGTCCTGTTCATACTGAGTGTGGCTCCTGTTCCAGTGGGTGACCAGGGACCCCAAGTATATGCTCTCTCCCTGTCAAGACCCCTTAAGAGGACTGTCAGCGCTTAGAGGAAGGTTATGCATAGCCTCTCCCCAACCACCCCCCAACCCTTTCTACCCAGTTTGTCCCCAGCTCAGTCCTGGAGGCTGGTCTTATATGGAGAGCCCTTGGACTAGGAAGGAATCTTCCCTGTGAACATTTATTTTTCCTCAAGTTCCCTGTTATTGTTTCTTTGCCACTGCCATCTGATTGCCTGAATCTGTTTCCATTTCACTCCTATCAGGTTAAATTTAGGATGTCTTTCTGCTCCCACAGAGGTTCTTGCCTCGCCTGCATCCTAGATTTTGGAAATACTTAGCTTCCAGGGCAGGGAGGGCTAAGAGCTGTTCTCGTTTTTCATTTGCACTGTGCTGGGTAGCAGGAGTGACCTGAATGAAGAAGGACCTGAGTGGTGTTCCTAATCTTAAGGGGCTGCTTTGTCTTTTCCTTCTTTTTTCTGGTCTATTCAACACGTCTTAAAACTAAGCAACCAAATGGTATTCCTCAATTTCCTGCCAATTCAGCTTTCATATCTTTTGCAAAAATAAAACCAAACAGTGCATGTCTCTTTCCTTCTTTTGAATTCCAACTCAAATTCCTCTTCTGCGTGTCTCAGGATATGGGTATGCCTTTTAAGCAAAAGCATTTAGCACTTATAATGTGCCAGACACTCTATCGGTTCACTTATTTCTGACAGCAAACTCCTGAGTTTACCAGTACTATTACTTTCATACTCCAAATTATAAAACTCATAAACAACTGAACTAGGATTTGAATCCCAGGGGTGTGGCCTTGGAGATGTGCTGCTGACTACCATCCTCTGCATCTTGTAATATCTTCAAGCAGGACCACTTCATAATTTATGCGGCTTAGTGCAAAATAAAAATGCAGGGCCCCTTGTTTTAAAATTAGGAATTTCAAAATGACAACAGCAGGGGATTAAACTAAGGAACAGGGCTTTCCAGAGTGGGGGCCCTGTGCTACTGCATAGGTGGAATGGCCAGGTGGCCAGTCTATCCTAAATACCCCTTTCAAATTGTACTGTGTGTGTGTGTGTGTGTGTGTGTGTGTGTGTGTGTGTGTGTGTCTGTCTCTACAGTGGGTATCAAGGAGAGGAATGGTTATTTACATTTGAGACCATGTTGTATCGAAGGTATTATCCTGATTTTGATTCTGGTTCGGTAAAATGCTAACATTTTGGGAATAAAAGTGAAAGTGTAAGAGATGTCTTTGTACTTTTTTTCTATAAGCCTGAAATTTCAGGATGAAAAGTTAAAAGTTCAAAAACATTTAAAGTTGGGTGAACCTGTGACCTCAGTGGTGAAAAGTATCCTCCCTTCTCTCATACCTAAATTTTTCCAGTTATTTGTCCCTTCATCACCATCATTTAATCTTGGATGATGTTGGTTAACAAGAATCTTTTCCGGCCTCTGATAGCCAGGGTGGCGCCAGACTTAGACACGATAGGAGATCGCTGACGGTGACGGTTACACTCAGTGACCACATGCATGGTCACTGCAGATCCTGTTCTCATGGAGTTTTACCACCTCATAATCAGCTCCTAAGGAGATGTTTAGCCTGCTATTATCAAAGCTTTAAAAAAATAGAATTGGTTTTATTTAAAAAGTCTCATAAAATGTATCTACCACTATCAATACAAGCCTAGCCCTGATCGGTGTGGCTCAGTTGGTTGGGCATTGCTCCACGAAATGAAAGGTCGCCAGTCCAATTCCTGGTCGGGGCACATGCCTGGGTTGCAGGTTTGGACCCCTGTCAGGGAGTGTTTAAGAGACAGCAGAATGATGCTCTCCCTCACATTGATGTTTCCCTCTCCCTTTTTCTCCAAAAATAAATAAAATCTTTAAATATATATGTATACACACTCACAGGCCTAAAGGTAATGATACAATCAATGTTTGCCTCTAAATGGGCTAAAATGGATTTCATAATTTTATCCATTCATTTGTGAAAAAATGCTACTTTTATGTAGATGGACAACGTGAGACACATAAATTCATCAACTGGGACAGCTGCACACCAGGTATATCATTGTTTTTGTATTGTTGCTTTCATTTTAGTTCTCAAAAATGGCAAATTAATCAGCCACTGGGTGATCAACTGACAATTCAATGTCATAATACAGTATCAAACATTTCCTCATACAGAGCTACTGACTGAAATCTCAGCACGTAAGTTCTGATCTTTCTGATTAGTTTTAAACATAGTATGTGATTGAAGCAGGGCCTAAAAATAAAACAAATGCCTAAAATATTTTTACATGCACACACTGTATAGAAAGAATATTGTATATTCTAAATATGTCATTCTAAGTATTGGTAAGGGCCATAGAAGCATAAGATTGCAAAATAAATCTAAATAGCAAACAACTCATACTGTATTGTTAACCTACTTCTATAATTTCCTTTATTTTTAAAGTGATCTTAAACATAATTTCACTTGATTATTTACTAAATAACAGAAGGCTTAGTCCACTTGGATAATGGCCATGATGAAGATGAGGAAATCAGAGACAGACTCAATCCGAACTTAAAAGAAAACTGCACTCCCTTCTTGATGGTCTAGACATGGCTTAGCAGGGACACCCCCAGAGTCCAGGGTGGCTGGCACCTGTGCCTGGCCCACAGAAGGGACGCCTGAAAGGAGCAGCTGCTCTCTCATAAGCAAGGCCAGAGGTCTTGGACTCCCTTTTAATCATGATTAATTTGTAGAAGTTAATCAAATTTATACAAATTTACGACATTAATTTTGAAAAGTCAGTGTGCCTACCTGTGTAAAATTCAGGATTAAGCACTATTTTATAATTTTCAGGACCCCAGCACCGGGCCAGATAGATAACAGGTTCTATCTTCTACATCATAATTCAAATTTCAAAACAAGTTCTTAAATTCTTCTATCAGTAAGTTGCCGCATCCACAATAAACGACACTGAAAGGACCTCCTCTTGCAGTGACTGATGGAGAACAGCCGAGTTCTCCAGGTGCCACTGAGGGCTGCACACTCTTTCACTCTGGAGCGTGTGCTAACCGGTTCGGTTCCCACACCAGGGAAAATTTAATACCTTCAAGCAGTTATTCATCATCAGAACTCCTGATTTGAGATTTAAGACATAAGAGGGTCAGGACTGGACCCACACAATTATACCTTAGAAATGTCCTGTTGTAGGTACTCCCAGTATAACAGCTTTTTTCTCCCCTAAAATAAATTGGAGGAAGGTTAAAGAAGTGGGAACTTGGGCAAATATTGCTGCAGAGGAGATCCCCCTACAAGCCTAACTGTAATTCTATTTCCTGATATCTAAATAAGTTTGCCTTAACCAAAGTCTAATATTCATCACAATTTCACATGAGGAAGATAGGGTTCACATTTTAACACTGGTTTAAAACAAAAGTAAAAAAAGATGGAAGAATATTTTATGTGGCCAAATTCTTCATCTGCTGACAAAATATGCCAGGTCATTTATGAATAGTGGTGCAAGCTGCAAATTTTAATAGCTTAGTGTGCAAGCCTATGATAATGCAGCACTGTCTTTTTAAGCTTTATATATATATATATATATATATATATATACACACACACACACACATATATATTTTATATATATATCAATCACTGATGTGTACAAATCCTTTTGGAAATATGTAAAATATTAATGATTTCAAACACTTTATTGTCATACCCTAACACATTACTTTATAATGTCTTACAGTTATATACTTAATTTTTAAAGAATGTCATTTAGTATTTGTATGGAGAGAAACCAAAAAATGAGTGGTGTTAGACAAATTCAACAAAAAATGAAGCAAAAGGCTCTGAACATTTTTATTTGGCAATCCAAGTTAGCAGCAACACTAAAAAAATTACTAACCTCCTTCTGATATTAAAACTCTTATTCTACCCAGCACTTGTTTTTAATTATAATACTGTGAAACAAAATAACTTGCAACATAGATTTTAACCAAAAAGCCAAAAGTATATAAACTTTTCTTAAAAAGTTTAATTTTATATACAAAAAATACAAATTATTACTTTTGTTTTGAAAAGTGTATCTTTAAAAATATTTTAATAAAGACTGGAGAAAATGAATGCGGACCAGGGTCCATTCTTCCAGCTACGGTTCAAACTAATGAAGTAAACTGTTTAATGACATGAAAACTCTTTGATGACATTTGTGAAAAGACAAGGGAAAAAAAGGAGATTGATGTAATAAAGTTAAGTATTATAGCATTCTCAAATATGATCCTTTATAAAATGAAAATTGGATGATGTCTTGTGGCATATGGTAATCTTTATAACAGTATATGGCATATAACATACTTTAGGACACCAAGAAGTTTAATTAAACCTCAACTTTGGTAAAGCTAATAACTATTTTTTAATGGCTGGGATATGTGAACTACAGTAGCAGCACTTTAAAAGAATAGGAAATAAAGGAAAATTGTATTATTAAAATGCATTCATTAACTTCTATTGGAGATCTCTTTATATTAGAACAATTATAATTAATTTTTCAATTATTGCTTCTATGCACAAATTGAAATTCCCCTACAATAAATTTCTGAAGTAACTGAAATTAGATACAAAAAAATACATGTAAGTGCAGATACATGAGAGAATTACTTCCCTTCTGTGAAAACTGTCTGGAAGTATCCTATCACGTAATATTAGAGATAAAAATTGCAAACTTGAAATAAACCAAAAAGACTTAAGTAGTACTATATTTTATTTTGAGTCTAATTATTTAATGTGATGTTTAAATTTAGGCTTTTAATTACTTTTTCATGTAGTGAATGCAAAATTTCTGTATTTTTTTCTTTTTACTATCTATAATGTTAAATGAAAAAGGAGAGGGGTATATTTCACATAAAAATAGAGGATGAATTCTGAGATTTCTCCCAAAGGTCTTACTGTCCCATAGATGTGGGCACTTGTTGCATAGTAAATAATGGAATACCATTTTTGAACAAATGATTTCTGCCCCTTTGATCCTGCACTTCCTCCAAGACAAGAAACTATGACTAAGTTGTTCAACATGGCATGATAGCGAAAAAGTCTTTCTAATTCTATCTTTCCTTAAATGAGCTCTATTTCTTGTAAACCACATGACAGTCCCTTGGCTGTGGTTGTCTGTTAAAATTTCCTGTTTGGTCTAGTTTCAGCAAACCAAAACAAACAGTTCACAGAAAAGGCTATGATAACTACTTTTTCCCCCCTTTTTGGTATGTCCACTCAAGTGCTTTCTCCTTAGAGGTACACAGAATGGGAGGAAAATAGCCACAAACAAGGTGTAAGTAGGTCACAGAAGTTTCAATGCACCAAAAAAAGTGCCATCTCCATCCCGTGATATTTTAGCATCTTCACGTGGTATTGCAAGCTGAAGTTCATCTCCTTCTTCCAGCTTTGCAATGCCTGGAAAAGAATGGTTTACAAGAGCTTTAAGTGGTTGTATAATGGAAAAGAAGAAAAAGGAATATCAAATAAAATGATTTTGTTTTGGGAAATAATGTTAACATAGACATTCAAACTTCAAGTTCTATCTGTGGACTTCTAAACCAGTTACTATCCTACTAGCCTAAAAAAAAGTTAAGTAAAGAAACAGAAGGAATTACAACAGATGTAGATGTATTTATCACCTACTGCTTATAAAATGGAGAATCTAATGTTTAAGAAAAACTGTTAGGTAAATAATAGTGCATCCCTTGATGGAATAGTATATAGTTAAAATAGTTTTGTTTCATTTTATTGACAAGAGAATTTTAATAATGTTAAATAAAAATACACATGCATATAAACTTTTAAATGTGAATATAAAATGCGTAGATTAAGAGTAAAATACCAAATACCATTTATGAACAGAGCACATCTGTTACACAGTGTTTCTCTAGAGACAAGATTAGGGGATTAGGAGTCATTTGGATCACTTTTTATAGCCTCCTATATATTTTGTTTCTTTAAATTTCCATATTTGTCTTAACAACCAAAAGCAACAAAATAATTAATTTATTAAAGGTAAAGAATAAATCTGTATGTGTGCCTAATAATAATGACATATTTTTGTGATTCAGGAGTAAAAAACATAATTCAAGAAATACACTCAGTGTATCAGGTAATTTCTGACCCCATTAAAAAAAAATCTGTATGAAGGAAAAGAAAGAGGAGAAGCAAGGAAAGAAGAAGAAACAAAGAAACTAACAAACAAAATAGTATCTGAATTGCCAACACTTCAACTAACCTTTAAAAAAGTATTTGCATTGTTTCATTAACATATAGTGAAAATGTACTTGCATGAACACATCTATGTTAACATCTATTCTATCATGGAGCCCAAAGCACCCAATTTCCTTGGGCACCAGTTAATCGGTGTTTATGTACTGAGCATATATTACGTACCAGACACCTTTCTAGAGACACAAAGAAAAGTGTGACAATTTTTTTTTTTTTGGTCACCAAGGTTCTTGTTTTTTGTAAGGTACCAAGGTAGACAATAAACAAAAAAGACATAGTTTTACATATTGTTAAGGGTAACATGTACATTTTCTAGAACTGGCAAAGCATTTAATGACTAAATAGTAAAAAAAAGATTGTAATTTTTTGTTGACTACATTAGTAATTATCATAGAGATTAAAGATATTTTAATATTTTGATAAAGACTACAGGTCACAGAGCATTAAGTCACAGTAACTCTCAAAACAAAGTGGGAGTGACCCCTCTCACCAACACGTTTTGTTTTTTATTTTTATTTAAGAAAGTGTTAGAATTTTTTTTAAGATTTATTTATTTATTTATTTATTTATTTATTTATTTTAGAGAAGGGAAGGGAGGGAGAAAGAGAGGGGGAGAAACATCAATGTTGGTTGCATCTTGTGCGCCCCCTACGTGGGACCTGGCCTGCAAGCCAGGCATGTGCCCTACATGGGGAATCAAACCGGCGACTCTTTGATTCACAAGCTGGTGCTCAATCCACTGAGCAACACCAGCTAGGGAAGAAAGTGTTAAAAGTTTCCTAAGGAAGAGAGGATAATATAAACTCCACATATACATTACTCAGTCTCAAAAATTATTAACCCATTGTCAATCTTGTTTCATCTATAATTTGAAGCAAATTCTAGACATCATATCATTTCAATGTTTCTATATGTATCCACACAACTTAACCACAAGAACCAACAAACTACCTTTTAAAGTAGGTTCTCTTTAAAATTTCTACACTGAGTTATTGGCTATTTCAGTTCTTTGAGCTTATAGTAGTATAAACTTTTCTACAATAAACACTTCTGTTAATAAAATAATGAATAAAATTCTGCTTTGTGTAGAGAAGAGGTTCTTTGGTATTATGTTAGGTTTCTCAAAAGGGCCATTTTAATTTTTTTCAGGTTATTATGGAAGCATTTTATACACTTATAATGTGTAGTTCATGGTTTTAAATAAATTTGCCCCAGAACAGATAAAAATTGCAAGCCTAAAATTTCATACAGAATGGTTCTCATATATAATACTAAGCTATTATCATTGAGAAATATCTTTAAGATCAAGTTATTTATTCTTAAAAAGGACGGCACTTAGGATATCTGTTTGAGAAAGTAAATGTGAGAGCAGCAGGTTATTAGAAAATCTGAAAGTTTGTTGTAGGTATAAGTACCGATGAATACAAATACATAGCAGATTGGCATAACCTCCCATCTATAAATATTTTGCAGCATCAAAATACTGGTGGCTACTGGGTACAGGGAAGCAGTTTTTTATGACAGTTAGGAAATTCCAATGTAACAAACTTCCCCATCACCCTGTTTGAGCTGTTTATGGCTGCAGGTCCAGAATGACGATCACCCCTATTACTATGTGCTTCTTCCCTTTCTTTCTGATTTATTGTGCCTCTCTGTTAATAAATGCCTTTGAAATACGGTACTTCACGCTGAGCAGTCCCTCCCCAACCCTCGGTTTCACACCGCCATTTCATGGTCACTGGACCTGCAGGCATTGCTCAGGTCCTAAATGGATTTGTCTAACCACCAGAAAGGAATAAATAAATGTTTTGAGGCAAACACTGCAGACCTGAAATGAACGAAGCCTACCCACCCTCTTTTCTCTCTGTATCTTTATGGCCCCTGCGTTGAAATGCGTATGTACTCCCACACTTTCACATCCCAAAGTCGCCGTCTGGTGTCCACTATACCAGACGTTACCTGCATGAAAGTGAGAGAGAAGCCACTGGGCAATGCGACCTGATCCTCGAATCAGCAAAGGGGATTTTTTCCACTGCATATAAAGAAGAGTTTTTGGTAGTTCACACTCTGGAATCAAACTGACTGGTTTAAACCAAGTTCTGGAACTTAGTAGCTGTGCAACCTAAGACAAAGTGTGTTACTGTAGCTCTGTGCCTCAGATTCCACCTCCCTGAAACAGGAGGATTAAATGAACAGGTATGAAGTGCTGATAAGATTGCCTGGCACATGGTAATCATTCTCTTATTCTTCTACTGTTGTTGTTATTAGAGGTTAAAGAAAATACAGCTTAGAATTGTTCTTAGTGTTGATTGCTATACAGTTAAACTGCCTTTTCTAAATGTATATAAAAATGATAAAACTATTAGGAATGATTTTATCTGCCGCAATTAAAACAGACTAGCTTATCATTCAAGACAATAAAAATCACACAGTATACTGAGGAATGTCTTCCTATTTATAGAGAATTATTATTTACCAGCTGAATAACAGGAATTATTGGGTAGTGTTTCAGGCATATTTTGAATACATCGGAACAAAGTCACCAGACTCAATTCATCCCCAAAGACATGGACTTTTTTCCTCTGTATTAGGTGTCCCATGGCAAAGGTGTTATCGGTGTACAAAACCTGAGAAATAAACCAAAGAACTCGGTCAGAAGTAAGCACAAAATGGGAAGCACTGGGCTGTGACAACAGAAAGGGGATGGAACCGACCTGACCATATATAAAAAAGTAACCGGTTTCTTTGACCAGTATTTTATTTTCTTTTTCTTCTAGGGCTCTTCCTCTTTTAAAGCTGAGAAGCCACGGAACGAATGTGTAAGATCCTACAATGAAGAGAACAATTTATAAGATAGGAAACTGAGAAAAGCAGTTTTTCATATCCACTTCATTTCTAAACTAAGTGTGAAACATAGAAGAGAATTTTATGTTTTAAAGAAGAGAGAAAAAGGAGACAAATTATACTACTCCATTGGCTTCTCCAGTGTCACTTATATATTAACTGAGGTGAATATCAGATACAGGAACTTGACAGCAAATACTTAAGATGAAATGTCTGGTTTTTCTTTCAGTCTTCTGTATTTCAGCAATTTTCTTAAGGATGGTCTGGATGGGAAAGTCTGAGGCAAAGAATGTATAAAATATCTCTGAATTACACCCTAAGAGAACTTTTCCAGTTTTTCTTTGGTTCCTAGAGAGGACACAGTGAGTATGTTGAGAATTTAGCAAAGGTTATCAGGAGAAAGCAAGCCCCTCTTTTCACTGAAATAATGTATAAAAACAGGCGACGACGGGTTTGCCCTGTTACTTATCGCCGAGATCTTTGGTTCACAGGCTATCCTCTTCCTGTTTGCCACTGGAGGGTTTTCATTTAAGGAAAGTATTTCTCAGGGACCTCTTTTGGGAGGAGCAAGTTAGGGTCATCAGGTTTGGTCCATTTGGGGGGTATTCACTGCCTGTGAGAGATGTCACAAAAGAGATTCCTGGAGTCCTTAAGGCGGGCATACAAGAGCACCTGTGAAGGTCAGTTTAAGAGGCGTGGGGAAAGTTACTGAGACGTAGTTTCTCCTGTGAAATGGTCAGGAAACTGTGGTCGTGATCTGTAATATTCAAACTGAATGATTTCTGTCCAGTACTACACTTCTCCTTTATCCCTAAACTTTACTTGAGGAGTGACAGGGGAGGCACTGTGCTCACGAGGAGAATGAAGTCGTAGACAGAAGACAGAAGCCACAGAAACGAGTTGGCAGGAGGGGACCAAATCATTGAGCCAGGACATGATGCTTCTGGACATCAACCCTAGTAACAGTGTAAACACTCTTTTCCTGTGAATTCATGGTATTAAGTTCACTGTTGTAAATTTTCACCATTAAGTAAATATTGGAGTAAATGGTGAACCATAAAGCTAGACTGAGAAACTTGGCAGGGAGTAAAGAAACTGGTATAAAATAAGTAAATAGAAAAGTTAAAAATGATAATATGATAGACTAGTAAAATGAAACTGCAGTAATCTAAAATCATTAAAAATGTTCGTATGATTGATAATGTTGAATCACTTGTGTTCCCAAACTTCACCTTGGTTATAACAAAAACAGAAACAAAAATCAATAAAAAAATTCAGAGTCCACAAGACAATATACCAGGAGCTCAAGAAAAGGACAACTTGTCACAGAATTGAGATTAAAGGAAATTTTTGCCTGAGGATTTTCTTAAGGAGACATGTTAAGATGTGGTAGTTGATAATGTTTTCATATTCATAAATACAATTGCTCAGTGTATGAACCCACATCAACAGGTCCCCAAGGCAAGTTCCTCATCTTTGAACTTTTCCCCAACAGGATTCTCAAGGGAAGACTATAATACAAGAACACATATTTTCTGAATATATGTTCACCTTTTCTTATAACCAAGGTGAGGCTTGTTAACACAAATGATTCAACATTATTAATCATAGGAACATTTTAAATATGATTTTAGATTACCACAGTTTCATTTTACTAGTCTACCATATTGTCATTTTTAAATTGTCTATTTACATATTTTATACCAATTTATTTATGGTCCCTCTCAACCAGGTTTCCCAGTCTAGTTTTATAGTTCACCATTTACTCTAATATTTACTTAATGGTGAGAATTTACAACAGTGACTTAATACTGTGAGTTAAGAACGCAAGTAATTCAACAAAGGAAAATGACACTGTGAATTCATGTTAAAATGAAACAATTCCTTAAGGTAGCCTTCCAAGTTCAGATTATCATAGACAGAGGAAGAGCTGTCAGAGACTGAGGAGAAGGGAGAAAGGAAGGCAAGAAGGAAGGGGCATCCCAGATCTTCAAAGGTGCTCTGGCTGGCCCCTCCTCAGCACTCCCACAAGCCTCTTCTGTCACGTCTCTCACAGGGAGTGAATGTCCCCAATATGGGGCAGGCCTGATGACCCCAATTGCTGTTCCCAAAGAAGGTATCTGAGAAATACTTTCCTTAAATGAAAACCCGCCAGTGGTATACTGGATAATTAATGATAGCCCGTGAATCAAAGATATCCTCACTTATGAATAATGGGCAAACTCATCATTGCCTGTTTTTCAGACAACACTATTTTAGTGAAGAGATTATAATAATGGAGTTTTACATGATGTTTAACAGAGATCATTCCCAAAGACATGAATGAGGAAACCATGGTTAAAAAGACTTGCAATAAGTATTAAATACGTTAATCTGTAAAACCAAGATAAAAACACATAAAAAGAACTGTTTGACAGAAAGGATGAAATAGTTTTATGCCATGTCAATGTAGGAATTATATAACTACCAAATATAGGAAGTAGAAGAGGGAAAATGCTGGCAGTAAATTATCAACTGTCTCATTTCTAACAGCTGGGGTTTAAAGGATATAAGTTAAAGTTGAAGGGTCGATTAATAAATATATAAACGTTTTAATAGTAAATACACAAAAGTTACAAAATATAATATTGTTATCCAAAAGAATCTATGGTGAACAGGAAGATAAAATAAAGAGCAATCATATTAATTTTATCACAGACCAGAGTGGAAAATCAATAGATATAATTGTCTAAAGATATAATCATAGATGTCAGAATGATGTCATGGAAAATGGCAGAGTAGAAAGCTCAAAAAATAAGTCCCTTCACTGAAAAGCAATTAAGATGGCAAAAACTCATGGACATTTTCGGATGTATGAAATCTATATATAAAATCTGTATGTATATAAAAAACTTAATGGATCAAGAGAGCATTTAACACAAAGAAAGAAAAAAAGGCTGTTAAATTTCAGTAAGAAAGTGTTATAGTATTTTTGCTTATTCATTTACCATCTTCAATTTTCCAGGTTAGCAACAGATATGAAAATAGCAGCCTGAGTCCCGGTGGCGCCTTGCTGGTGCCAGGGAGTGAAATACTTATTCTCAAAACATTGAGGCTATGCATTATGACCTACCTAGAAGCCCCTTTCAAGTGGAAGCTCCCTAGGCTGTTTGTTGTCAATCAAAAGCTTTAAAGACATTCACTACCTGTAGCTACTTGGAACAAGGAACAGCAGATGGGGCAGGCAACAGACTAACCAAAAGCCTGAGAAGAAGGCTGAGGAGGAAGATACTTGAAGAAATAAGGCCTTTCACATGCCACTATACACACCAAGGAATCTGTAATGCAACGTGCATGCTCAGAGCAGACCTGAAAAAAATCCTACAATAATGCCTCTAGTTAATCTTCAGCCTCCATGTAAGTGGGAGGGGAAGTCTACGGCAGAGTTGTTGGCGGCCTGGCTAAATGTTGAAGTAGTTCCCCAGCTCAGAGCCAATCTGCTAAGAAAAGGATAGTATTTTTGTAGTTGTTATTGTTGTTCCTGGTATTTATATAAACCTCTGTCAGGATTAGGATTAGAGGTTTAAAAAAACCTATGATATATTGTCCTGGGTAAGGGAAACAAAAGAACAAATAAACAAATGGGACTACATCAAACTAAAAAAAGTTTTGCATAGCAAAGAAAACCATCAACAAAACGACAGATATTTGCTAATGACACATAAGATAAGGGGTTAATATTCAAAATCTATAAAGAACTCAGACTACTCAATACCAAAAAAACAAACAACCCAATTAAAAATTAGGCAGAAGACCTGAAGACAGTTCTCCAAAGAATATATACAGAGGGCCAAGAGATATATGAAAAGGTGCTCAATATCACTAAGCATCAGAGAAATGCAAATCAAAACCACAATGAGATATATCACCTCACACTTGCCAGAATGGCCATCATCAATAAATCAACTAACAACAAGTGCTGGGGAGGATGTGGAGGAAAAGGAATCCTAGGGCACCATCGGTGGGAATGCAGATTGGTGTAACCACTATGGAAAACAGCATGGAGGTTCCTCAAAAAATTAAAAATGGAATTGAATTGCCTTATGGCCTAGCAATTCCACTTCTGGGAATCTATCTGAAGAATCCCAAAACACTAATTTGAAAGAATATGTGTTTGAAAGAATATCTCCATGTTCACTGAAGCATTATTTACATTAGCCAAGATACGCAAACAACGCAGGTGACCATCAATATACGAGTGGCTAAAAAAGCTGTGGTACATTTACACAATGGACTACTCAGCCATAAAAATGAATAAAATTTTACTTTTTGCAAAAGCATAGATGGACCTATAAGGTATTATGATAAGTGAAATAAGTCAGACAGAGAAAAGAAAAATACTGTGTGATTTCACTTTTATGTGTAATCTAAGGAACAAAATAAAGAAAACAGAAACAGATTCATAGATACAGAGAACAGACTGATGGTTGAAAGAGGGGAGGAGGTTCAGGGTGCTGGGTGAAGGGATTAAGAGGTAGAAATTGGTAGTTACAGAACAGTCACAGAGATGTAAATTACAGCATAGGATAGTCAATAATATCATACTAACTATGCTTGGTACCAGGTGGGTTTTTGAAATATTGGGGACCACTCTGTATAGCACATGATTGCCTAACCACTACTCTACATCAGAAACTAATACAGAATAATATTAAATGCAAGCTGTAATTGAAAAACTTTTTTAAATTGTAAAAATTATGAATTTAAGTAAAAAAATCAGTTTCATGATTTTTAACTTAGATACTTCTATATAAATATCTAAAATAAATATTATTTCATTTTTTAAAATGTACATATCATACCTATCATTTTACAATGTGCTTTTTAATCAACACTAAAATAGTAAACTATATGCTGACATACATCCTAATTAATCTTCACTAATAAATAATATTCTATGAAAAAAAATCAGACTGACTGCAGAGATAACAAAAAACTTCAGTGACCACATAGGACAAGAAATACAGTCTTAACAAAAATAATTTTGGAAAATTAATAACCAAAAGGACCACCATAGTCCACAGCAATCAACACCAAACCTGTGGGATAGGAAAAAATATAATTTCCTGACTTATCACACTGTAATACTTAAATTGTTCAATTTTCAAACAAAAATACAAAGCATATAAACAAGCAGAAATTTATGGATCATTCACAGGAAAAAAAAAATTGGCAGAAACCATTCCTAAGGTAGCCCAGACATTGGACTTAACAAAGACTTTACATCTTCTAAATATGCTTAAGGAGCTAAAGGACACCACAGAAAAAGAACTTAAGAAAAGCAGTAGAACTTTGTTTGCATAAATAGACACTATCAGTAAAGAGATAAAAATTATTTTTGGAAAGGGAACCAAACAGAACTTGTGGAGCAGAAAAGTCAAAAAAAGTTCACTGGAGGGGTTACAGAGTAGATTGAGCAACAGAAGACAGAATCAGCAAAACTGAAGCTAGAAGAACTGAAGTTATCCAGTCTAAGGAGAAGAAGAAAGAAGGAATGAAAGGAAGTGAAGAGAGTCCAAGAGACCTGTAGGACACCATGAATCACACTAATGTGTGAGTGACAAGAGTTCCAGAAAGAGAAGAGAAGGAGAATATTTAAAGAAATAATTGTCAAACTCTTCCCAACTTTTAAGAAAGAATAAATCTATGTGTCCAAGAAACTGAATGACTTCCAAGAAGGCTAAACTCAAAGAGATCCATACCATGACACATTAAAATAAATCAGCTGAAAGACAAAGACACAATGGAATCTTGAAAGAAGCAAGAAAGAAGCAACTCAAGTACAAAGGAGGCTCAATAATATGAACAACTGATCTCTCACTTGAAACCATGTAGGCAAAAGGCAGTAGGATTATATATTTAAAGCTCTGAGTGAGGGATTACATCAGCAAGATGGCAAAGTACAATAGAAAGCCTTATACATTACCCCTCCATTGAAACAATGACTTTAAATCAAAATACCTTGAAGAGAAATTCAGAATCTAGCTAAGTAGAAGCATTTCAAAGGAGCACAAAGTGAGAAGCAGCCATATTTGTATAGGTAAGAAGAGCAATTTCAGTTTACTCACATCAATTTTTCTCCTAAACACACTGAGCTCAGCACCAAGAAGACTGCCTTACTCCATGATTCCTCCTATGGAAGAACAGTAAGTTCCTACCTTGGCTAATACTGAACACTGAAAAACCAAAAGAGCTTGGTTGGTCCTGAATACAGTTAGAAAAAAAGAAAAGGGGAGAGCATCCCCTTATAGCCAACATTTTTATTGAGGAGGAGCTGATTCTTTTCCTCAAGGAGGGAAAAAAGAAAGCAAAGGGGATCTTGTCCTCAGACTTAGCATGGCTAATACCAAGCACTGTTGACCAATACACATGTCTCCCAGTCAAAATCAGCCCAGGAAGACTGGAAAAAGTAGCTGCTTCTTCAAATGCACAAATAACAAAATAAATCTACAAGGAATATAAAGAATCAAGAAAGCACAACACAATGAAAGAGAGGAAACAAACTTCCCATAAACAAGCTGAAGTAAATGGCTGAAATAAGTTGTAAATCACTTTACTTCTAGTGTAAAAGTTAAAAGACAGAAGTATTTTAAAAAACTGTACATATAATAATTTAATAGTTACACAATGGAAAAAGATGTAAATTGTCACATCGATAACATAAAGTGTGGAGAAGGGAGAAGTAAAAATGTAGAGTGGCTGAATGGATTTTAAAAAAATCCAACCATGTGTTGCCTGTAAGGAACTCACTTTAAGGACACAGATAGGTTGAACCTGAAGGCTTAGAAAACAATATTCTATGCAAACAGTAAACAAAAAAGAGAGGTGGCTCCTCTTACACCTGACAAAATGGACATTTTAAAACTGTCACAAGAGACAAAGTAGGTCATTATATGATGACATTCAAGAGGATATAACAAATATAAATATATATGCACTCAATACTGGGGATTGAAAATATTAAGAACTTTTAAAGAAGAAGACAACAATACAGTAACGGTAGAATCCAATATCCCATTTCAAACAATGGACAGATCATCCAAAAGAAAACCAATATGGAAATAGAATACTTGAACAACACTACACAAGTCTAAGTGAACTTAACAGAGATACAGAATATTTCAGTCTATAGTACCAAAATATACAATCTTCTTAAATGCACAAGGAAAATTCTCCAGGATAGATGAAATGTTAGAGTGCAAACTAAGTCTCAACCAATTAAAAGACAGCAAGTATCTTTTTCAACAACAACAGTACGAAACTAGACCTCCACAACAGGAGGAAAACTGGAAAATTCACAAATGCATGAATGTTAAACAACACACTCCTGAACAAGTAACAGGTGAAAAAAATCAAAAGGTAAATGAAGACATATTTCGTGACAAATAAAAAAGGGAACAGAACATATAAAAATTTATGGGACACAGTGAAGCACTACTGCTGGAATGTACATGCACACTTACATTTACCCACTGTCCAAGCAAGGCCTGCTGGCAACACAAGGCCAGTCAATGTGTCCAAAGGGCAAGGCACTCAGGCGAGCACCCTGGATCAGTGGAGAGCAGCCACCGAGCCAAGAAGATGACAACACTGTGTAACTCATACTCACAATCGAGTAGCAGCTGAATCTTTTTGTGTAATTTTTATCATTTTGGATTTTGGCCAAATGCGTAAAACAAATCGTTTTCTAAATTATGTATTTTGTAAATTTTATCTTTGGTCCTTAGGGTCTTTTCTGGCTTAATTTTAATTCTTATGAAACAGTTAGTTGCCTATTAAAAGTTACAAACATGATTTTGGAAAATGCAGAGTAATAAATAATAACAGAGTTTCAAATAGTTTAATATTTGTGTTACATTTAAAATAACTAAAAGTCACATAGAAAAATACAGATGCAAGATAACACTCCTGGGAATCATTACAAAGGCCAATCCAAATTCAATCCAAATCCAATCTGGACTCATTCTTGTTTCCCCATTCCTGGCCCCAGCTTAACCTCTTGACACTTTCGAACTCCATTTTCTGGGTTTCATAACCTGAACATGCCCTTGACTGCTGCCTGCTTTATTTTTCTCAATAGCATTTAATTTTATGAACAGCATTTACACTTTACGTATTCATTGTATTTTTCCTCATCAGAAGGTAAACTCCATGAAAATAAGGAACCATACATATTTTAGTCACTGCTATGCTCCAGTGCTACACAGTAATTGTAATACTGTATATTCTTAACCATTACATGTAAAATATAAAACAATAATTTCACACTGAAGATTTATCATAGAATGTTATATTTGCTTATTTGTACATATTATATATTTATTAATAAATTAATTCTATAAGATGTTTATGATATGCTCGATTTTACTGCATCCTATGATTTCTACAGCTTAATTGGATAATTAATATTTGTGAAGATGATCTTGAAGCATTGTAGGAGCCAAAATGATTTCTAAATAATAAAAAATAAATTTTCCTTTAGTATCGATTTTGTTTTATCATATGTTAATTATTTAAGACTTCTAAGTATTAGTGTCTCTAAGATAATTCTATTTTAAAATATTAGATTAACCTAAATATTTATTCCCTAATTATTTTGAATAAATTTGCTTATTGTTTTAATTTAACTAAAGTTTTGAGGTAGAGAATAAATTTGAGCTGAGGTCTGAATACAGTCTTTGGGCTTGAAATTTACAAGTGACTAGAATATATTAAATTCTAAGTGGAAAAGTTACTGGGACTAGTTTATTACCTTTTCGTATAGTAGGCATGTCATTATCTGCAATCAGTTGCAAGCAGTCTTGAGTGACTGAAAAGCAAAAATGTATCATTTTAGTTACTTGAATAGAAATAGTAACAGATCTAAGATGATTTAGAGAACACAAAGCTACGAACTCATTTTCCAGGAACATTAAATGCATTATACTTTCTACATAGTTCGTATATTGTTTTTAATATTACTTTATGAAATTTGCCCACAGGTTTTTACTATAACTTGTACTTGAAATAAAATTTGTACTTGAAATTCATGTTTGAGAAAACCTATGTGCTGTAGAAATACAGTAAGTATATCATTACACTTTTAAGCTAGCTTGCTTTAAAATGCTAACAGATAGAAAGCAAGTTTAGTCATAATTGTTTTTCAAGTCTACCAAAAACATGAGCTACTTACTCCAGCAGAATATTCTAAAATGATTTTTTGTTTAAAAAATCTAACAATAAATAACTACTCACTAGTATTAAAGATGCTATTAACATTGTTAAAAAATGAAATTAATTGTTAACACTTATTGAGCCAATATAAAACCAACCTCACAAAAATCCTAAAAATTACACACTGAAAACTGTCTTGAGAAAGTGGAATCAACTTGCCCAGGTCCTGAGGTGGAAACCACATCTCTTTCACTGTGGAGTCAAAGTCACCCTCCATTCAAATATTTGGATCAAAAAGAGTACAGACAGAACATCTTTTAAATATAAAATGGAAGATTTTCCCTGAGATAGCTTAATCAGTAAAGTTTCTGGGAAGCATCAACTCATATCACATATTAAATGTACAATAAAATATTACAGAGAATATTCATGGGAATAAATAACTATTCTGTTAAAGACAAATGCCATCAGGTAAAAGCAAAATAAGTAGACTGTAGGAAAAGAAAGCAAAACAGTAAATATCTTTGAAAAATATAACACATAAAACTGAGCATGCCTATTTTAAATCAATGAACTATTATTGATAGCTTAGGTTTGTTATTTTTTAGCAAGTATTGCATTCAGAACTGAAGTAATACTTTAAACATGCTTCTCAGGGTATAGATTTTAAGAACTGAATTTCTGCTTCAGTTGATTAAATATTTCTAATATTTAAAACATGAAATAACGGATGTAATAATTATATGATATTCTGGGTTGTGCAAGTGCTTTGGCCTAAGAATAATTCTCTTAAAGAGAGTTATCACATAAGAAAACCTGTTAAGAAATTTCTCTTGGCATTTAAAGGTGGAATATAATGTTAAAAACCTCAATTTCTTTATAACCATGAAACTTTTCTAACACATTTTTATGTTAGTCTGATCAATTCGATAGGAGAACTGTTTAATTTAGTTTCTGATTCTTTTATTGATTTGTAAAACAGCGGTAGCCATGTCTGTGTTAGGGAAAATGTGACTCATTAGTGCAACTACTATGGCACACCCTTTGCTAGGAAATTAAGTCAAAACATCGTAACAGGCAGAATGATTGTGGATAAGGAGGTTTTGAAGAAAGAAGTACAAAGCATCCAAAGGAGCTATAATCTGAAGGGCACAATAACAGAGTAGCCACGTTAAACCTATTTTAAATGTTTTTATTTTTGTAACAAAAACTTCTTAAGGAATTACTACTTACAAGGCACCATAATTACTTCTGTGAGGGATGCAATGGTCAATCAGAACACCTAAAGCTCTAATCTTTCTTCCACACAGAAAAAGAAGAGGATGTTGACAAAAGTCCAAGTCAAATATCCAAATTTCCATCTTCTTTTGTCATTATGTGTACAGGGATATTATAAAGATTAAATGAGATAATGCATATGAAACATTTAGCACTATACCTGTTACATAATAATTGCAAAATCACTCTTGGCTATTATCAGTAGTAGCAGTGCTAGCAATACTGTTCCTAACATTGTTGCACGAAATAAACTGGGCACGTAATGGACACTATGAGAACATGAGAACAAGTGAAGCTGATTAAAAAGAACACAGAAATACTACAATACATTACTTCCCATTTCAATTAACCCTTACCTTGACTGCTCCCCCAAAACTCCCATAGGACAAAGAGTTTTACGTAATGAGTGAAGCCTCAACACTACCAAACTGATATGAATCTGTCTGAATTTTAATCTCCGCAGCCTAACTAAAATTTGGCTACAACCTACACGTTGAAAAACAATGATCTATTTCATCATGTAGTAACAGAAATCTACCTTTTAGAAAAAAATACGCTATCAAGAGAAAAGTTTATTTCAAGCAATACTCTTCAGAAAAGAAAATGGGCTATCAAAATGACAGTTCAATAACAATGTTAGAAAAATAACAATAGGATTGTCCTCATTAGATGCCGCTCAGGTCCCATTAACCCAATCAGTGTTACTTATCTCTTCACAGTTCAACTCTTCTTTCTTAGAAAATTTAGTATCTACTACCACTTATTTCCAGTTCAGCCTTTTAGGACTCTAATTCAACATAAATCTGATTTTAACTACAGATTATTGCTCCCAAAAAGCGGGTAAAGAAGAACACAGTATTTTCTGACATCTCCCAAGAGCATAAATATCCAATCACAATAGTTCTGAGAATGCAGAGTCAATGTAAAACATAATATTGATAACAATTGTAATACTGATTATGTTTGGTTTTCGTAAGTCTTTCATATGTCATTCCCTCTACTACAATTAACAGGAATTACACAGAGTTTAAGAATAATTTATCTTTTTAACTAAGCAAGGCAACAGCATACATTAAAACCTTTTTACATGATTGGGAAACATATTTCTAAATATATATATATTATATACATATAATAATGTGAGAAACATGGATAGTTATTCTTGTTAAGTACGTTGTGACAGCATAAGAAAGTTTACTCATAATATTAAACTTTTTGTAAAATATTTCTAAAAACAAGTTGTATTAATGACAAAAATAGATTACAAAAGAGAATCCCTAATATAAGAATTTTCAAAACAAATAATCTGCTATCACTCAACATTTAATAAATAAAATAAATCTAACCAATTTCACAATTAAAATAGCATTTAAATATTTTCTATACAAAAAACCATTTTGAGTTTGAATGCTACCTTCAAAATTGTTATTCAAATATCATTAATCAGGAGGAGGGACTTGAAAGTTATTGGGATTGCTAATATCTATTATATTGCTCTCTATATTGGAACTAAATTCTTTCAAACTAGAACCTTGTTTACTATACATTATTTCAAGAGGCTAATATATAAAACTACTACAAAAATGCAATTATTACAGATTACATGTGGCTCCCATGAAAGATACCATACATTTGCCCAATTCATATGTATTACATCTACTAATTTTTCATTATTCCTCTCACTTAGATGGAAAAGTTTAATTAGAAGAAATCTTTTAAAGATCTATATATTGACCTTATGCTGGATATAGATTTATGAAAAAACTGAAGAAAGAACTGCTGTAGGATAAACATTTCTACTGGAATGGAAATTCAAGAATTTAGGTGTGGAAAACTGGATTATAAAGTTTTATTTGATCAATGATAAGCAGTTTGCTTGGGCAGCAACTTATGAAACCAGTATGAGTTGAGGGAGTTTTACTGGTCTAAAATACAATTATACAAATGATGCACCCAAGATAAATTGTGAAAAAAATATTAGGTCGCCCTGGTTGGTGTGGCTAGGTGGAATGAGCTTCCGGCCTGGGAACCAAAGGGTTGCTGGTTCAATTCCCAATCAGGGTACATTCCTGGGTTGTGGGCCAGATCCCCAGTAGGGAGCATGTGAGAGGCAACCACACATGCTCCATCTCACTTTCTTTCTTTCTCCCTCCCTTCCCTTCTGTCTGAAAAATAGATAAAAAAATTTTTTAAAAGTTTAAAAAAACTGAAAGTCTGTGACTAATGACTATATGAGTTTGAAGGAGAATTAAAAATTAATAATAAAAACAAGTTTTCAGTCTGAGGAATTAAGAAAGATTGTAGTGCTATAATGGCCTTGGGGAAGTATGAAAGAGGTACTATTTTGGGGGGGCTACAAAGGAGTTGATAAAATAAAATAGAAATAACTACACTTGATAGAACTAAAGAAAAGTACTTGAATTAAAGATTTTTCTCTCTGTGTATACAGAGAGCATTTAGCATTAATTGGGCATTGTCATGTATCACTCATAATATAATTGTGTTCTATGCCTAAAGCAATGTAGGATATGTAAAACAGCAGCCCTTTACATAGCCTCATGATCACTAGGAACTAAAAATCAAAACAAGAAAAAACCTCCACCATTTTCATTTAATGTTTCATTTTACAACCGATCAAATATTTTAATTTAAAATTACTAATTTTATAGTTGAGCCATCATCTCCACAGGATATGTTTTTTCTTTTGCCATGACTCCTTTGCATTATTTTAGAATATTTCTCAATTAATGATGTACACTCAGAGGTCACCGGATATCAGTAACTTACTAGTGAAAAACATTATGCAAACATGTCTGCAAGAAAGGTAAAACCAAAAACAGCAGTATACCTGAATGTCTGGAGAAAGGTAATAAAAAATTGCACAAATGGTTGTTACATTTTCAACTTCCTCCTTGGACATTTCTATCTGGATGCCATAGTGATACCTTAAGTTCAACATGCCCCAAATTGATTTATCTTCCTCACACACTCACCTCTTACTCCTTTCTTTCCCTCCCTTAATGGATTGTATAACTGTCCTGAGTCGCCCAAACTAGAAAATCTATATACATGCCTTATTCCTTCTTTCTCAATTTTGAAATTCAACTAATAAATAAATTCTAATGGTTTGAATTTATAACTTTTGTTCAATTTAGATTGTATATCTCATTCATTTCATTCAAAAATTTTACTGAGCACATTCCATCATGTGTTGCACTAGGGAGAGCAAAAAAAGGAGACACAATTCCTACCCTCATGAAGCTTACAAACTAGTGGGGAGGACAGAGGTGAATCAACATGATAAAAACAGAAATAAAGTTGCAACTGTATGAGAGAGAGAAAGAAAGAGGAGGGAGGATTTGGGAGTGGGGGAGAGAA